TGAGGGAGCCGGGTTTTAGCAACGCGAGTAGGCGAGGATGCTAGAAACTGATATAAGCAAGCCATGCGAATTCTGGGCTTCCATTTAATGGAGGCATTAGGGTCAGCCATGCTGGCCCGCATGCTGCGGAGAGCAGCGCCGAGTTCCGCAAGTTTGGCAAAAGCATTGTTGATTGCGGGCATCAGCGAGAGCTCTTCATGATGTCGCAATGCCGCTTTAGGACGTGTAAATGCTTGCCTGGATCGTACATATCGCTTCCATGCCGCGATGGCTGCCAGTAGGAACAGGTTGCGTGCTTCCTGTTGAAGCGTGTCGGCTTGGCTGACAATTAAAGCTCTGGCATCCATGAGCCTAAGGGTGGCCATGGAAACGCGGGAGTTGGAAGGTGCGCGACCTGTAGATGTGCGGGGTTGAGGAAATGCCTGTAGCATGGCGTTGCGCGCCTCCCTGTCTAATATGAGCGCGTGGTCTGAGGCATGCAGGTCAAAAGTTAAAGTTTCAGGGGGAGGCGAGAAAATGTCTTCAAAAAGCTGTCTGGCCGACGGGTCTAGGTATGCATTGGGGTCGTGCGGAATACGCATGACCTGGCGTCCCTGGTCTTCGTTAGGTCGGAGCTGCAGCTTGAATTGGCATAATAGGCACGGAACAGCGTGGTCTAACACTGCAAGTGCTAGGGAAAGAGAATACTTGACTTCGCATTCGTTGGCAGAGGCACCTAAGGGTATAGCTATATAGTCCCTGCGCTTCCAGTGCTGTTTGAAAGCGGGGTCACGTGCTGGCGCGATCCATGTGCCTGCCCCCATAGGGTGTGGCACAAAGGTGGCCGGCAGCCAGAGCTTAGATGCAAGTAAGAAGCGATGGAAAAAGGAGCCAGCCGTGTTAACTTGCTCCGCGTGTTGTGGGCCAATGGCCGCTGATGTTTGCGTGCCCACTGCAGCATTGGAGTCCATTAGGACAAGAGTAGGCGTAGGCTGCGGTAAGATATGGTCGTGCACATGTCTAAGGTGTTGCCACCATACGACCTGTTCGTGGAGAGGACGCCCTGAATGATGAGCGTGTGCCACGAGAATGCTGAAACGTAGGCCGTTCTGGCTGATGACTGCCGCAATAATGCGCGGGTCTTGGTGTGCAATACGCACGCTGTGAGACTTAATAGGGAAAGTGGGAATGCCTTTGGCATTGGGAAAAACGGGCGTGGTAAGGTTGACCCATAGCGCACAGCCGCAGGCATGAGTTCCAGCTTGAGACTTTGACAAAAAGACTACGTACGGGGGAACTTGGCGCTTGCCAGAGCCCGTGTCTGTGACTCGCGTCTCTTGCATGCCGATAACGTCGAGCCCGTTGCGTTGAAAAGCGGCGGCCAGTTGGTGGAGGCGTCCTTTGACGGCCACGCCTGTAAGCCTGGCTCTTTGGGAAATGCGCGAGGCAGGAGTGAGAGAGAGAATGTTGGCTGAGGCCAGCCTGAGACAGCATGATGCCGTGGCGTCTGCGATCGGGGCTGCTTCTTTGAAGAGACCTGGAAAAACGTCAGCAAGCGAGGTGCGTGGGGGGAGAGGAGGATTGAGGCTAACTTGATGGTTTGGCGGGTAAAGCGCACGCTGTTGCTGAGGCAGGCACTCAAGCCAGAGCCATTCCAAAATATGCGCATTGTCCTGGAGAAATCTCATGAGGGGCGGGAGCACGGGGGGAGGTAGGAGTGCGAGGGAGTAAAGTCTGGCGACCGTGTCAACCATTTCGTTGAGCGGGTCGGCTTGGTGACCGTGCACGTGCTGCCATGTAAAGTGGCGTTTAAGGCCAAGTACTTTGCATAGACTGTCGAGGCGGCTTCTATGCTCCATTAGTGGCTCAGCCACTGTGCCGCCTTTGGCGGTGGCGACAACATCCATGTTGTCTGAGTGAAAGGTGATAGGAACGGCGGGAGGAAGGGGGGACTGTAGAGCCCATAGCGCCGCCCAAGTGGCGGCATCGAATTCCGCTTTAGCGGAGACTCTATCTTCTCCCATAGTCTCCGGGGTGGGACACCCTAGGAATCCTAGAAAGTGTCGAGTGCCGTTAAGCCATGCAAAGACCAGAAAAGCCCACGCTGGTGGGCCAGCAAGATCTCCTTTGGAGGCCCCTCCGCTGGCGTCGGTATATATATATATATATATATATATCCGCGGAGTCAAAAGCCGCGTAGGGAGTATCAAAGACAAAGCTGTGCCATGTGGGGATGGAGGAGGAGTGGAGGGCTGGAAAGATGACATCGACGTCCCTGACCAGCTGTATGGAGGTAGCCGTTAGCACCGGTAGCATCCACCTCATGGGCGGGAGTGGGCTGCGGCGAATACCTTGCCGCCCCCCCAGGTTCACCCGTGGGCAGTGTCCGGGGGAGCGACCTGAAAAACCGTGCCGTCACGCGCTGCCTGGGCTAAATCGTCCTGAGCAGCTTGTGCCGCGTGGGCCTCGGCTTCAGCACGGAGGTCCGCCGCCTCTGCTTCTGCCATTGCATCTGCAGGGCTGCGTGGAGTGGACGAGGCGGATGCCCCTGCACGTGCCTTTGGCTCATCCTCGGCTGTCTCGGGCCTGGGGCGCCGTGATCCACGAGGGCTCTTGCTGCGTGCTGCCCGCCTAGCTACAAAATCTTCCTCGCTGATGCCTGATAGCGCGCGCTGCTCGGCCTGACCCGCACGTGCGGGTCTGCCCCTGGCCTGCGCGCTCGCGCTGCGGCGGGAGGATGCCATGGAGACTGGCTCGCCTTTTTCATCGGAGAGGTCCCACCCAATCTGGCTGGCAGAGCGGGTAGGTGGGGGCATGCCGCTGGGATCCTCTACTGAAGCTGATGCCGGGCTTTGCTGGTTGATAGCGTCTTCCCTAACTGAGCTATCTTGAAACGAGGGCGCAGTGATGATCGCCTCCCCTGTCGGCGGCTTGGGCACTGGCGCTGGCCCGGGTTTGGGCACGAAACCTAGGCGGAATAGCGGGCCTGCTTTGGGGGAAGCGCGGGCCTGTTCACATCCTGACGGCGCTGTGGTCCCCCCTCGGACCGTAGCGCCGTGGCTAGAGGTGGCGGCTGGCACTAATTGCCCGGCCTTGATCTGTGAGACTAGGGTTTCTACTGAGTTGCGCATGGCTTGGGCCTGGGAGTCAAACTTTGCCTTGATGGTGGCAACTTCCCTGGCCATGGCCTCGGCGTTGCTTTGCATGGCCGCAGAGAGTGATGTGATGTAAGGCTGTTCCAATCCTTGGATGCCTGGAAGGGGCGCTGGGCAATGGAGGAGTGGGGGAGAGGTCGGCGCTGCCGTGAGGGGCGTGGCCGTTCCCAGGTCATGTGGTTCGGCTTGCTCCTCACCTGTATGCGTTGCAGAGAGTGTCGCAGTGCGCTGTACTGCACCTGGCTCCTCCGCCGCGTCCCCCATCATGAGCGAGTCAGTGATGGCGGCGACTGGCGGTGCTTGCGACTTGAAATAAGCTAGTAACATGGCAGCCTGGCTGAGGTCCGCTTGTGCGGTCTGAAGGGCCAGGGCAATGTTGCGCACGTGCTCCTCTGCCTGCGCTTGTTTGGCTGCCAATTGCTCACAATTGGCCTGCAGGGAGGCCACCACGTGCTCTTGCTCGCGAATCTTGGCCAGCGGATCCCTCGCGTTGGCCAATTGAAAATTAACTAGTGAAATCTCCTTACGGATCTCGGTGATACGCATATCGGAGTGTCCTAGGAGAGTTGAGGCCCTGAGCTGCAGGATTAGTGCCTCCTTGCTCATTGCAAGGGCCTTGCGGTGCTCCAGCAGGCGGTCGGGCTCAAGCGGGGGGTAAAGCCAGGCTGAGTGAGAGTGCGCCTCGTCTGGGGTAAGAGTAGGGCACTGCGCTGTGAGCTCCGCCTCCGAGAGTTCGGTGGCGGGATCCAGCGTTCCAAGCGAGGCAGAGGCCTGTTCGGCCGCGAGGAAAGGGGGCTGCTGTACAGAGGTAGGGCCGAAGAGTGTAGGGGGAGTGGCCACGCCGTCTTGAGGAGGCGCAAAAGGGGAAGGCAGTGACTGGGGAGACTGTCCTATGATGCCTGTGTCCTTGGCCCCGTGTGGGGTGCCAGGAGCCTTCAATGGAGGCTGCTCCCCGTCTCTGCGCTGGTACTCGCGAGCTCTGCGAGCGTCGTCCTTTTCGCGCTTCTTGCGCTCCTTGTTGGAGATCCCAGCCTCTTGGACCGCATGATCTCCTGGGGGCGCGGGGAGCAGGCCGTATTCCGCTGCCCATGCAGCCACCTGGTCGTAGGACGGCGCACCTGTCGGTGCGGGGCCCTTGCCCTGGTGCATCCCCCCCGTGCTGCCTGAAAAGGAGCGAGGGCCCTTGTGGCCCGGCCCCGCGCCTCCATCGTGCATGGGCCTGTGCTGCCCCTGACCTTTGACTGGGCCGACCTTCGCTTGTTGGTGACTTGCGGCCCTGGTCGGAAAACAGTTGGGACATGAGGCATCCAAAGTGGTATTGGCCCGGCCGCGTTGCAGGCAATACCAGAACTCGGGCGGGGCGCTGCCTTTCTGGTGCACTGGCTGCTGGGGTGGAGGAAAAAAGTCTAGGGGCAGGCGCGTGGCATAAAGAGACGGTGAGGGAGGGGCAGCCAAGCGTTGGGTGGGAGAAGTAGCCATGCCATGCTGCTGCAGCCCAGATAGAGGCGCATGCTGGGGGGGTGAGGTAGGAGGAACAGCGCCTTGCTGGGGGATGCCCTGAAAGGAATGGTGCTGTGAAAGCATCATCGCGGCCTTGTGCACCCTTAAAAGCGTGCGGGCGTTGGCGCGCTGCTTGCGCGCTCTACGATGAGTAGCGGGCTCGTCACGAGGCCGCTGGGGATAGGAAGGAGGAGAGTAGGCAGGCGTCGCGCCTGTCGGATGGCGGCCCGATAGGGCGTCGCGGCGGGGATCGGCGCGGAACCGGTTATGCAACCGCTCGAGCCAAACCTGAGGGAGGAGGGAGGGAGGAGGGAGGAGGGAGGGGGGAGGAGGAGGAGCCATTACCCAGGGCGTGGCGGCCGCGGGCGGACCCCTCTCGCGGGGCCACGACGCCGGCGAGAGCACCGTGGGTTGCCGCGGCGCGACCTGCCCGGGCCGTGCGCGCGGGCCGCCGCGGGCCGGCGCCGCCACGGAGGCCGGCGCAGAGCGCCGCGTGCTGGAGCCTGGCCAGAGCGCCGCGGCCTCCTCGAAGGCGGGCGCTCTGCTGGGCGCCGCGCTGTACGGCGACGGCGCGTCGGGGGGCGCCCGCCGTGCCAGTGTGAAGTCGGGCGTGTCCCTCTACATGAGGAATTTTTCAAATAGTTTAAACAAATAGTCTGGGGACGATTTTTCCAGTACGTATATATATATATATATATATATATATATACATGTTCATATATACATATATATATATATATATATATATATATATATATGTATGTATCAAAATCATTCAAACACCCGCCTGTAGGAGGACATGCCCGACTGAATGCCAGTGTTTTGAGCGGGGGATCGACTGCACAATTGATTTGCCCGTCGAGTTTGCGAACGATATATGTATGTATAGAGTCTTCAGCAGACATGCGGAGCATTCGACGTATTTTCCGTTCGTTCGACGGAAGAATCAATGTTGGGGTACATCAATTCTGTAGCCGATCTCCTATTCCAGTGCTCTGGGGCCGGGATCTATTCACAGCCACCACCTGGGGGGTCGGTCTTCGCGGACCTCCTCCAGCGGTGGATATGGATGGATTCGGGCCCCGAGGGGGCCAACATATCCGCCGATCCGGCGTGTGAGTTTATGAGAGCGTGGACTTGAGCTCGCTCAAGCTTCGCTCTGCAGGGGGGGGGGGCGTACGTTATTTCCGACGTCATTTTCAACGTTCTTCGGTACCCGTGGACAGTGGGGTATAGAAACCTCGACTTCCTGCAAGAGGGCCCCGAATCGCCGAAACCTCGCTCTCCCCCCCCCCGGATCGGCGGCACTGGCCGGAGGCCAGCCCATTATCCATATCCACCGCCCGCTGGGGCCCCAGGATGTCGGTTCCCAGGCGGTGGCTTCCCCCGAGATGCGGGCGCTGCGGTTCTTTCAGGAGGGGGAAAAACACACAGACACAATTCATCGTGCACTCCCAGGAAAATATGGGAAAATATGGGAAGTGGGGGGGACGACGAAAACTCAGAAAATATACGAACATCTGGGGGATCCTTTTATTTGTGTGCATTTATTTGTGTGTCCCAGGGCCCCTTCATTCTGGCGCGCCAGGCGCCGGCTCTCCCAGTCTGGTTGGGCGCCCTGTGGCAGATCGGTGTGCGGCCCGAGAGATGCCGCAGAGGGATGGGGTTCAGGGCCGGAGCTGCCTGGGGGTCCGAGGCGGCCTGGCACTGGCTGCGGCCAGCAGGCAGGGGGGGGGAAGGGCGAGGTTCGAGGCGCTGGCTTCGAGGCGGGGTTTTGTCTCTCTCGGTCTCCGAGGGCTGCTTCCGGGCCCCGGGGCCGTCAAACACGGATCCTGGGTGACAAATTGCACTCCGATTTTTGAGCGGATTTTGCAGGATGGAACCCAGGATTTTGGCACAAGTTGCACTCCTTCCAAGCAGGATGGAACCCAGGATGGGTGGAGGGACCGATTTTGAGCGGATTCACCTCCGTCTTGACAGATCTTCTCGGGGCCCGTCCAGTTCGGACGTTCGGGCAGTCTCCGAGTCCAAGACTCTGGTCGTGCTTTTTCGCGAGGTTGCAGTTTTTTTCCCAGCGTGGGATCTCAGGGGACATCCGCCGATATGACCTCTTCAACCTGTGGCCTTTTCTTTTTCCCGACGTGGGATCTCAGGGGACATCCGCCGATACGACTGTTCCAGTCTGCGGCCCCGGAGGTCCCGACCGCTTCCCCAGAAGCAGCTCCTCGTCCCGGATCCATAGTTGGCGTCCCTGGGGCCCGACTGCGAGCCCCGTGCAGAGGTTGAAGCGCCCAGGCTGAAAAGTCACGCCGCTGGAGATCTGGCAGTGCACTCGGGGGCAACGATAGGGGGGATAGCAGGGCTCATTTCGATTCCTTCGATTCGATTCGATTTCGACAACTTCCGATTCCGATTTGATTCGACTTCGGATTCCGATTTGGGCTCCGATTTCTCGATGGCGGCCTACTTGCCTGCCGATTTCCGCCGATTCGATTTTCCCGACTCGGCTGCCGATTTCCGCCGATCCGATGCATTCCGATCGCTGATCCGACACCGATTCGATTCTGGGCTCTCCTGGGATGGGCTCAGGTCGGAGACTGATAGACCTCCTACCCTCACACGTCGATTAGTGAATTGGTCCCAGGCCGTTTTCACTAAAGGGTGGTTTACTAAAGGAAGGTTTGTCCACCACCGATCAGGGGGGGGAAGCATCAGTTTGGAGTCGGCGACGCGTTTGGCAGCAAGTTCGCAGGCTCCTGGGTGGGGTGGGCCATCAGGCCCCCCATCAGATATGTGTCGCCGATTCCAGCTCAATGTCCCCCCCTGAGCCAATCCACCCAATCCACTCCTCCTCCTCCTCCTCCTGCTCCTTGCTCCTCCTCCTCCTCCTCCTCCTCTTCCTCTTCCTCGCTCCTCCTCCTCCTCCTCCTCCTCCTCCTCCGCCTCCTCCTCCTCCTCGCTCCTGCTCCTCCTCTTCCTCCTCCTCTTCCTCCTCCTCCTCGTCCTCCTCCTCCTCCTTCTCCTTGCTCCTCCTCCTCCTTGCTCCTCGCTCCTCGCTCCTCTTCTTCCTCCCTCGCTCCTCCTCCTCCTCCTCGCTCCTCCTCTTACTCCCTGCTCCTCCCTCTCCTCCTCGCTTCTCCCCCCCTATCGTTGCTCCTCGTGCACGCCCGCCTGCAGATATCCCGGCCAGGGACGGTCCTCGGCTTGGCCGTCGGTGCGTGCGCGCTCCCCTCCAGGCCCTCGGGGGTTGCGTGGTCTTCCAGAGAGTCCCCGAATTCTTTGCGGCCTTGGGGATCTGTCCAGATTTCGTCGGGTTTGGTCGACATTTGGACGACATTCAGAGGAGGGAAAGGTACCCATACCTCGACCCTCTCCTCGTTTTCCGCTTTTTGGGCCTCCTCGGAGGCCCTCGTCGACACCGCTGGATTCGCCTCGAAATTCTAGTCAGAACGCACCCTGAGAGAGGTCCGGGGAGTAGGGATATCGATACCCTCTGGTTTCCCCAGAACCTTTGACGTAGGGGTGAAGAGGGATGGTCGAAACTTGAACGAACTCCAGTCCCAATCACGCTCATGATGGGGCCGCGAAGAGCCAGGGAACACCAATAAAGGCCCCCGCAGCTGGGGGCGCGCGCATCGGTCCCTGGCCGAGGGTGGGCCGTGGCCAGTGGCCGGTGGCCGGCGGTCCGGCGGGCGTCCTCCTTCAGGCGTCTCGACGCCCTGCGTGGACGCAAAGGCGTCTCGACGCGTGGGCTCCATCTCGGCGGCCACGAAGGGTACGGTTACACCGGTCGGGGGTGGACAGAACCCCCAACAGTGACACGTCGATTAGTGAATTGTCCGTTTTCGGTTCTCGAGAGGGCGCCGTGGGCGTTATTTTCCAGGCCTGCGCCCACCAGGTTTGGGCCTCAGGTCGTTTTCACTAAACCACGTTTTACTAAAGGGGGGTCTGTCCATCCCCGAACCGGGGTGTGGTTTGCGATCTGCGTCTTTGGGGATCGGGGGGCACCACGCTGCCCTCGTCGGGCCTCTTCGTGGCGCCACATGGAGCTCTCGAGGTCGCCGACCGCTCCCCAGGGCCTGCGGGCTGCAAGCCGCACCCTTTGGCAGACCACACCCTTCGGAGTCGCCGACCATCGCCCACGCGGGGTCGAAGTGCTCGGGGGAGTCTGCGAGCCCGACGGCGACGCGCGAGCGGTACGGCAACGGCATCGTCAATCCGTGCCCTTTCGTGGCGCGGCAGGAGTCCGAGGGGTCCACGTGCTGAGCTGCGGCGAGCAGCTGAGGGTCCAACAATGTACGGTAGGTTTGCGTCGTGTCGACCAGCGGCGACCCCAGCGCGGGCGTTCAAGGTTGAACGCCGGCGGCGGCCCAGAATCGGTCGATGTTGAACGATTGGACGTTGCGGAAATGGCCGATCGTTCAAGGTTGAACGATCCCTGCGGTGTCAAAAACCAACGCCGGGGTCGACACGACACGAACCTGCCGTAGGCCTCCCAGATGTCCGAGTAGATGGGGTCGGAGGACCGCGCCGCATCGCCGATGCATCGCCGATGCGGCTCGATGTGAAGCCCGACTTGCGTCGCGCTGACGACGCCGACGCATCGCAGAGGGCGCCGATGCATCGCCGACTCATCGCCGATGCATCGACGATGCCGGTCGAAGCAGCCTCGCCAAGTGCGCACGAAGCAGTCCCGTCGAGTGTCCAGCTAGGCCTCCAGCGCGTGCGCGTCGCTCCCGCAGTGCTGGCGCCGATGCCGCACTTTTTATTTACGGCCTTGAGGCAGTCTTTTTCGCAAACAGTGCCAGCTCTTGGGGTGGTCATCGCTCCGGCTCGGGTATCACAGTCGGACCGTGGTATGAGATCGAGGTCGGTTCGGCGAGGGCACCCTCGTGTTCTCTTCGTGCTCGTGGGATGCTCCTGTGCATCCCGGGGAGGGCGCCCTCGGATGTCCTGTGTGCTTTGGCCCGCGGAGGGTCTCGTGTGCTCTCCTCCTCCTCCTCCTCGCTCCTCCTCGTGCCCTCCTCCTCCTCCTCCTCCTCCTCCTCCTCCTCCTCGCTTCTCGCTCCTCCTGCTCCTCCTCCTCCTCCTCGCTCCTCCTCGCTCCTCGCTCCTCGCTCCTGGGTCCGACTGCACTTCTGGGTCTCCGCTCCGCTGCCGCCAATAATCGGGGCGCCTCGCGGGGGGCCCGGCGCGCTGGCCGGTGGCTGCGCGCCTTGCGGTCCCTTCCGCCGCCCGTCGGCGCGTCGTGGCGTGGGCGCCTCGTGCGTCGTGGCGGGCGCGTCGATTGCACTCACCTCAGGAGGGAACGAAACACACAGACACAATGAATCGTCGTTTCCCCAGAAAATATGGGAAAATATGGGAGGTGGGGGGGAAGACAAAACCCCAGAAAATATGGGAAAATATGGGAATCTTTTTATTTGTGTGTATTTATTTGTGTGTCCTGGGGCCCCTTCAATTTCTGCATAGATTTGCAGCCTCCCGAGAGACATGTTGGACGGGCCGATATCGTTTCGATTCGAGCGCTTTGGAGAAAATAATTATCCATGGTAGCGGAGCGGATGCGCCCCCATCGCCGAGAGCGGCAGCCTGCGATAGAGCCGCGGCGGGCCAGGCCCGCGGAGGGCTCCTCGGCGCAGGCTAGAGCCCAGGCGCTGGAGGCGACCAGCCTCGCTGATCCAGACGAGAGCGAGGAGGATTTCGAGGTGCTTTCGGGGAAGGACATTGCCCAGGTGTGGGTTTCGCTGGCAACGCGGCTGGTGAGGCTGGCCTTCAAGAGGCGCTGTTGTGCACACCTCGGACAGCACCTGTGTACGATCAAGAGACGTGGTCAAGATGGCAGCGACGGTCCAGGACGTCCAGGCGCTTCGACAGGCTCTCGAGCAAGTGTAGGGAGAGCTACGGCAAGCACGAGCGGACGCTGACGCCGCGAGTAGGGAGCAGCCGCAGCGGCGGCGCAAGTGCCAGACCCTGGACCAGAGAGGATGGCCGCGGATATGAAGATGATTGGCAAACCAGAGATGTTCGATGGGGCCAAGCCGCCATGGAGAGACTGGTCAGTTGTGTTCGAGGCGTTCGCAGGTGCGACGAATCCAAACATGACGGCGGCAATGGCCAGAGCCGAGCGAGAGGCAGAACCAGTATTAATGACGAACCTCGAGCCCGGGGACATGCAGCTGTCCAGGACGTTGGGGTACTGGCTCATCCAGGCGTGTAGGAGCCAGGCGCTCGACGTAGTTCTGAATGCGGGCAAGCTCGAGGGGTTCGAGTCTTGGCGACAACTACCCCTTCGATTTGAGCCACAGGCGGCGAGCAGGTACGCTGGACAGTTGATGACGCTGCTCGCCTGGGACTTCAGTGGCGAGATGATGACACGCCTGGAAGCCTTCGAGAGGGAGATCAGCCTGTATGAGTCGGCGTCGGAGGAGACCCTCTCTGACGCGATCAAGGTCGGCATAGTGCTGAGGCAGTTGCCCGAGTCCCCGCTGAGGCAGCACATGATCATGAATGCGGAGAGACTCAAGGAGTGGCCCAAGTTCAGGGAAGAGATCCTGAACGTCCGACGAGACCAGGCCGCAGCGGCGGCAGCGCAGAACGGGGTGGCCCCGATGGATCTCTCAGCGTTCAACAACCAGGGTGGCAAAGGGCGCTGCAGGATCTGCAATGGCAAGGGCCACGACGAGAGGAACTGCTGGCACCGCAAGGGCGGGGCCGGGACAGGCAAAGGCAAGTCGGACAGCAAGGGCAAGTCGAGAGGTGACTCCAAGTCGAAGGGATCTTCGAAGGGCGGAAAGGCAAAGGACGGCAAGGGGCCGAAGTGCTTCAACTGCCTTGAGCACGGGCACATGTCCAAGGACTGTCCGAAGAAGAAGAACAACCTGCACATGATGGAGCCGGAACCCGAGAAGGCGCTGCGCGGGCTGTGGCTCGCTCCGTTCACGATCGACGAGAAGAACGTGGCGCAGAAGGCCTTCGACCTGCTGATCGAGGGCGGCCTGGTGGACGACAAGCCGGTGCACGAGCTGAGCAGGCTCGGTGCGGACGCGGCGCGGGCATCCCGCAAGATGGTGCTCGGTGTCGACTCGTGTGCAGCTACGACGGTCGTGCCATCGGAGCTGGCGCCTGACTACCCGACTTACGAGAATGACATGAGCGCGAAGGGCGAAGGCTACAGGACCGCGAACGGCGGCTGGGTGGCCGACGAGGGCGCTAAGGAGCTCATCGGGTCGGTGCGCAACGCGGACGGCTCGGCGCAGGTGAGAGGCATCAAGGCTAGGCATCAAGCCTCTGTCTCAGAGATGGTCGACGCAGGCCATCGGGTCGTCTTTGATGCTGGCGGCAGCTACGCAGAGAACAAGTCGACAGGGGTGATTACACCGTTCCAGAGGCGCAACAACGTGTACGAGATGGAGATGGAGCTGATGCCGTATAGCAAGGCGAAGGACGTGATCGGCCGCGCGGAGGCCTGGTCCAAGCCCAGCGCGAGCGGCAAGAAGCTGAAGGAGATCTGCATGGTGAGGAGAGATGACGCAGGTGATGGAGCTGGATCGAGTCAGGCAGCTGCGGCGGCGGCAACAGCAGCATAACCAGATCAAGAACCTGTTCAACCAGAAGCGGTACCTCCACCGCCTCCCCCGGTGGTTGCTCGGGAGCGGCCGGCAGTGAGAGCGGCGCGGAGACCGCGCGAGCCGACCCAGCAGGAGCGAGAGGACCATGAAGTGTCACGCGCGCCGCATCGAGCTTGGTGCAGGCACTGCGTTGCAGGACGCGGGCGAGCTGAACCTCATGTGACGAGGGGCCACGCGGAGGATGCGATACCAGTCGTGGCGTTTGACTACGGCTACCTCGGCAGCGGCGAGGACGCAGCCCCAATTCTGTTCACGAGGGACTCGCTGCACAGGTACACGGGCGCGGAGGTGTTGACCTGCACGGGGGCGGCGCACGCGCGCAGCGCCGACATGCTGGTGAAGTTCGTGGTCAACGGCGGCTACAAGAAGGTGGTCTTCAGGTGCGACAACCAGCTGAGCATCGTCGCCCTGAGGGACGAGGCCGTCAAGAGGCTCAAGAAGGACCACGGTGTGGAGTGCTGGTTGGGACCTCGGCGGTGAGAGAATCGCAGTCGAAGGGTCTAGCTGATGGGGCTGTCAGGGATATGGAGGGCCTGACGAGGACCCTCAAGCACGTGGTGGAGGAGATGCACGGAGTCACGATCGGCCCGAAGCATCCGTGTCTGCCGTGGATTGTGAGGCACGGCGCAGCAGTCCACAATCGAGGTCAAGTGGACTCGGACGGGCGCGCGCCGTACGAGTTGAGGAAGTGGCGCGCTTACAAGAGGGCGCTCCCGGCGTTCGGTGAGAAGGTGTTCTACCTGCCGGTCGGCAGGAGGGAGTCGAGGCTGGTGGGCAGGTGGCTGGAGGGCGTCTTCTACGGGATCCGCGACGACAGCGACGAGGTGTACGTGGCGACGCCGAAGGGCGTGATGAGAGCCAGGAGTGTCAAGAGGATGCCCCTTGCAGCGAGGAGTGACAGGGCTCTTTTCTCAGAGCTGCAGGGCGTGCCGTGGCGACCTGTTCCTGGTCAAGAAGGTGAAGGACTCGAAGTGCCACCTGCCATGGCGAAGGTGGTGGCGAATCAGGTGGTGCCAGACGTGGATCTGCCCCCTGTTCCAGGACCTGTGGGTCCTCCTGCTCCGAGGAGGGTCTACATCAGGAAGGACGTGGAGCTGAGGCGCTACGGGTGCACCCCAGGTAGCAGGGGCTGTGTTGCAGCTCGGGACAACCAGCGTGCGATCATGCACAACGAGGAATGCCGAACGAGGATCGAGAAAGCGATGGAGGACGACCAGACGTTCGGCGGTGGAGCTCTGGTGGCAGAGGCTCACCTACGGCGAGTAGCTGGTGAGCGACCCGAGAGAAGTGAAGACGAAGAACCTGGGGCCAAGCGAGGGCGAATCGGTGATCGTGGACCAGTCGGGGAACCAGGGGCTCCAGGCTCATCTGGGACAGCGTCGGGAAGCGTTCCGGCGGCGGCGGACGTGGCCATGTGCGACGCGGCGGAGATTGGTGCGCTGCTGGAACAGCTTGGTCTCGACAGTTTGGATTTGCAGGAAGTGTTCAACCCCGGGGAGTTCGCCGAGGGAGCTCCAAAGTCCAACCTGAAGCCAGGAGTAGAGATGGACCTCGGGACGGGCTGGGACTTCCGGCTCGAGGAGCAGCGGAGGCGAGCGAGAGCGGAGACTGAGGAGGGAGACCCTGCCTTCCTCATCATGTTTCCTGTATGCACCCCGTTCTCACAGCTGATGGAGTTGCTGAAGGCGAGCGGCAAGCGCGACGAGGTCAAGTTCCAGAGGCTGCTCGCGGACTGCAAGGTCTTCCTGGGCTTCTGTATGGAGCTGGCGGCGGCCTACCAGCATTCGAGGGGGAAGTGGTTCCTGTTCGAGCACCCTTGGACGGCGTCAAGCTGGAAAGAGGAGTGCATCAAGAGCATCAGGGAGCTGCCCGGTGTCATAGTGGTCAAGGGCAGCCAGTGTGTGTTCGGAGCCAAGTCATACTGGTCGGACGGCTCGGAGGGCCTCGTGGCGAAGCCGACGGGCTGGATGACGAATAGCCGCGAGGTGGCGAAGCAGGTGGGGATCGTGTGTGACGGCTCCCACGAGCATGTGCACCTCCTGGAGAGAAGGGCAAAGGCGGCAGAGAGGTACCCCCTAGGGCTGGTGAAGGCAATCCTGAAGGGCATCAGGAACGAGTTGAATATCGGTAAAGGGATCCATGCGTTCGAGGTTGGCCAGGCCGCGGAGGAGCCAGAGATCCTGGACCAGGCAACTGAGGAGGAGATGGAGACCTTCTACGAT